ACTGGCCTTTGCTCTCGCCGGGCACTGCGTGCTGCTGCTGGTCTCGCTGTCTTTGCTGCTCAGACTGCAGCAGCTGCTGCTGCAGGTCCTGGTGCTGGGTTTGTTTCGCCTGTTCATGTAGCTTCTGCTGCTGCTGCAGCTGCTGCTGCTGCAGTGCCTGCAAGTGCTGCTGCTGCTGCAGCTGCTGCATCTGCGGCAGCAGAGCAGCAGGGACCCCATAAGCAGCTGACAGCTTCGCCTGCTGCGCGAGTGTATATGCATACGGCTGCTGCTGCAGATAGGGGTCTTGCTGCTGCATGTGCTGCTGCAGCTGCTGCAGCTGTAGCTGCTGCTGCAGCACCAACGCCTGCTGCTGCTGCAGCTCTATGGGGGACCCACCTGGCTGCTGCATAGCATAAAGCATAGGCATTTGCATCTGCTGGAGCTGCTGCTGCTGCAGTTGCTGCTGCTGCATTTGTTGCAGCTGCTGCTGCTGCAGCTGCTGCTGCTGCAGCTGCTGCTGATCTAGACTCCCCAGAGGTGTAAGGTCACTTAGACAATAGGGGGGCAGGGGCCCCAGCTGCGTAGCAACACCCATCTGCTGCAGCTGCTGCAGGTGCTGCAGGTGCTGCAGTGCTGTGTTTGTTGCTGCTGCTGCTGCAGGCGTTAAGCTACCATATAGAGAGGGAGCAGCAGCAGCAGCAGCAGCAGCATATGCTGCTTCATACGCAGCAACACTACTGCTGTATGGATCTAGGACCTGTTGTTGCTGCAGGTGCTGCTGCTGCTGCAGCAGCTGCTGGTGCTGCGCATGCTGCTGCTGCAGCAGATGCTGCTGATGCCGTGTCTCCTCCTCCTGCTGCCGCGAAGCAGCTGCTGCTGCTGCTGCACTCAGTTGATAGCTTTCCCTTGTGTATGCTGCTGCAGCAGCTTGGGGGCCGCTGTGGGGCCCCTGCAGCTGCTGGGTGTAGGGTTCATCTGGCTCGTTGGGCGCCGCACTCTGCTGCCGCTGCTGCTGCTGCTGCTGCTGCTGCTGCTGCTGCTGCTGCTGCTTCTTAGAACCCTCCGATCGCCAGCCCTCCTTCGAACCCCGCTGCTGCCGCGGGGGGGGCCCCTCTCCCCCCCCTGCTGCTGCTCGGCCTCCCCTGCGGGGCCCCTGGGTCCCCTCTCCTGCGTACGGCATTGGCTGTGCAGCAGCAGCAGACGCACACAAACAGCACACAAACCCTGCAGCAGCAGCAGCAGCAGCAGCAGCAACTGCAGCAGCAACTGCAGCAGCAACAGCAGCCGCGGTCGAGCTGCTGCTTCTCTAGCAACGGATGCTACTGCTGCTGCTGCTGCTGCTGCCGCTGCTGCTGCTGCTGCTGCTGCTGTTGCTGTTGCTGCTTGTATCCCTCAGAGGCTCGCGCTTCTTCTGTCTTTATCTACAGAGCTGCAGCAGCAGATTGTGATGGGGGATCTACTGCAGCACAACGCTGGCCTGCAAGACCCACACTACCCCTGCAGCAGCAGCAGCAGCAGTATGAACAGCAGCAGCANAACGCTGGCCTGCAAGACCCACACTACCCCTGCAGCAGCAGCAGCAGCAGTATGAACAGCAGCAGCAGCAGCAGCAGCAGCAGCAGCAGCAGCAAGCATGGGAAGTGTACGTACACCTGAGGGCTGACGAGACGACTAGAACTGCAGCAACTTCTGCAGTGGTATTTAAAATCCTGTTGTGTGTTGCTGCTGCTGCTGCCCCCGCAGCAGCAACCGTTTGGGGCTTGGCTGTATATTTCCTTTTTATTAACTAC